ACTTAAAATGATTACTTTAACATGTAAGATGACATTAGTACCACACAGCTTAATGGAATTTGGAGTCCCATGGCAAGTTTTTAGCTTTACCCTTAGGGATAAGTTCGTGGAACATGTGCTGAACTGTACATCTCCTCCCTCTCTTATTCTCCCTCTTATTTTTTACAGGGATCAATTTTCAATTGGATTTAAACACCTAAGAATAATTCTGTGTTAGCCGGCGCCGTGGCTCAATAGGCTAATCCTCCACCTTGCGGCGCCGGCACACCGGGTTCTAGTCCCGGTTGGGGCGCCGGATTCTGTCCCGGTTGCCCCTCTTCCAGGCCAGCTCTCTGCTATGGCCAGGGAGTGCAGTGGAGGATGGCCCAGGTGCTTGGGCCCTGCACCCCATGGGAGACCAGGAAAAGCACCTGGCTCCTGGCTCCTGCCAGGATCAGCGCGGTGCGCCGGCTGCAGCGGCGGCCATTGGAGGGTGAACCAGCGGCAAAGGAAGACCTTTCTCTCTGTCTCTCTCTCTCACTGTCCACTCTGCCTGTCAAAAAAAAAAAAAAAAAAAAAGAATAATTCTGTGTTAAGTAAAGAGTTCAACCAATGGTATTAAGTAGAAAAAGAAAATAGTAAAAAGAAAAATTTTACTAGCTACTTTAAGTCATCTGGATTTGAAGAGGATGAGGCTATGCTGCCCCAGAATTTGCCACCTCCACACAAGGATTATTGTGAGCTGAAGACAACTGAGAATCACCAGGTGTAGGAGGGGCTCTCTGTCCTCCCCTTATCTTATAGTTTCCTCTTGTAGAGGTGACCCTACCCCTCCCCATATAAAGGAGGAGAACAGATTTTATCATCAGTGATCCAGAGCTGGCACTGAACTGAGTCTGTATAAATAAACCAGATTCAATAATCCTTATTTTCCAATAGGTTTCCTCATATTCTTAGTCTTGCTCACAATTTATCATCATTTGAGGCCCAAATCTCCTTGGTTGAGATAGTATAAAAGACTCCAAGTCTGGGGTGTACATTCAGCGTAGTGGTTAGGATGTCGGCATCCCACATTGGAGTAGGCTCCTGATATCAGTTTCCTACTAATGTATACCACAGGAACCAGCAGTGGTGACTCCAGTAACTGTGTTCCTGTCTAGGCCTCTGAACACGGGTTCTGTTCTTGGCCCCTTTAGAACAGGTTTTTTTGAGTTTTCTTCAGATTTATTTTAAAGGCAGAGTTATAGAGAGAGAGAAAGAGAGAGAGAGGGAGAATGGGAGAGATCTTCCATCTACTGGTTCCTCTCCCAGATGACTGCAATGGCCAGGGCTGGACTAGGACAAAGCCAGAAGCCAGGAGCTTCTTCCAGGTCATATGCATGGATGGCAGGGACTCAAGCACTTGGGCCATCTTCCACTGCCTCTTTCAGGTCATCAGCAGGGAGCCGGATCGGAAGTGGAGCATTCGGGACATGAACTGGTGCTCATACGGGGCGCTGGCACTGCAGGCAGCAGCTTTACCTGCTGCACCACAATGCTGGTGCCCCCTTTAGTCCAGTTTTAACAAGAATCCTGGTGGATCAGTTAAGCAAAACTGTCTCACCTTTGACAGTTGATTAAATTCCTCACCCCTTACCCTTAATATCTGATCAAAATCTTTATCTTCTACTCTCAATATCTTATCACCTTTGCCTGCCTTCAAAAATAATCCACTAAGTTGGTTTAGCCAGAATCCTCTTACCCCTGATGTTTCCTCTCAGTAATTTCCTGCCCACTGACTCCTACCAAGATCTTTAGCTGTAAATCTCCTCTTGTCCTTGTGTTCAGAGTTGAGCCTGATCTTTCCCCCCCTACTCAAAACTCCATCAAGACGGATCCCCTTTGAATAAAGCCTCCCTTAACAAGTGTCATGAATAATTTTTTATCTTTACAATTCTGTTTTTAGATAGGTCCCCCAGCTCAAGGGCATGTTATTACTGTTACGTGAACACCAAATTCACCTTGTAAGGAAGAGAACGTCTATTACTCACTACAGGCCTATAGAGAGAGGGGTAGGTCATATTGAAGCCCAAATCAATCTCCTTGTATAGACAGAGGTTTTGGGAGTTTATAGAGTTAGGGTAATTGGGGTAGGACTGGGCAAAACAAAATGGCAGGATACACAGGTGCAGAGGAAAGGGGTGAGGACTGTCCTTTATGAGCGCACCTTGACAAATTAAGTCTTTCCACCCAAATACGTGCAAAGTGACGCTGAAGCATCACTGGAGGTGCATCATCCAACATTATCATCAACCATAAGGTTACTTTCTGGTCAGTGTGAGTTGATCTGTGCAGGCTCCAGGTATAAGGCTGGCTGCAGCCGGTTCTGTTGTTTCTCCTGGAAAGATGGCTCAGCGGCTGTTTTCACAAAAGTCACCATTATGGAATTGCGTGTGACTATGCAACAGGGTAGGAAAAGAACTGCAATGGGCTGTTGGTATGTCAGGTGGCAATAAGATGCTTGCTGATAAGCCAGGGTTTCAATTCCTTCGAAGTCCTCATTGTTGAGCTGCTGCATTAGGTTGGGCCATGCACTGTGTGTCTTCTGTGCAAGAGCAGAGAGACGTACAAGGAACCATGTGACACTAAAAGAAGCTGAAATGGCAGGAGAGAATTTCAGTGTAGTCAGAAACAATCACCCTGGGAAGAGAGCCATGGACCAGGAAACTGTCGGCTGTGTTGCTTACCTTACTTGGGGACAAAATGTAGCTTTAGGACCTGGTTTGTTATCCAAACTATTGGCCTACGGCAATGAACTTGGGGAGGGAAAGTGGCTAAGTCGCATACAGAAGAAGTCATATAGATAAATAGTAACAACAAAATATATGTAAGGAAAGAGGACATGAGCACAATTTCAATGTGCACACAGATGCTACAGGTTAATTCCAAAGGAACGAACATTCTTCGGATTCTCAATATAAACATCAGCCTTTCTCCCAGGGGCTGAAGCGTCTCCTGTCCAAACTGGACTACCATGGGGCTGTGCCTTCCAGAATGTTTAAAATCATAGAGAAGCTAAGTTACATATGATGGTTTTACTTTTCCAAGGCAGACAGACTACATTTTTACCAATACTGGAAGATAATTTACTTGCTTAAAAATATATTCAGGCCATGTTCATCTAGTTCCAAGGCTCCCCCTACTACTGGTAACAGAGAATATTAATGACTGATATAATTGGGCACCATTTCCTTCTTATCAGTCCCAAAGGAGCAATCACCATGACTATACTGTCATTTCCAATGTAAAGTGAAATCACTAGTCTGTTGGGACACAAAGTAAAAAGCTTCAAGGTATTGTTTCACTGCTGCCACTGTTTTCAGTGCATATTTCCATTTTGTAGAAGATTTTCGTTCTAGTTAATTAAACATACACTTTGATCAAAGGGAAAATGCAGGTAGATATGCACATAATGAAATGCCTCTTTTACACATTGTGTAACCACACACAGAGTTCCATTTTCAATCCACTTCACACAAAGGCCAGCTGTCCCATGGCTAATCGTGCTATAAAACTTACTGCTTTCTTCCTGGCTTTGGCGTAGCTCCCTATAAAATTACACAATGACCTCAGGACACTTCTAGTTACATTATAGGGTGTCTCAATCACGATTCTCACTCCAAGTTCAATGACATGTAAAGTGGTACTAAATAGTTCCACTCTACATCAACTATTTTGAGAGCTCTGAGGCAAATATAAAAGTCCCATAAGCCTACTTCTAAAAATAAATTTCACATATGCCCACATATACACAGTTTGTTAGATTCACACACTAGTATTTTAAGATTCAATGTAAATATTTTTGTTAAATAAATACCTTTGACCGTCAGGTTTTCTTCTTCTTTTTAAAGATTTATTTATTTGAAAGACAGAGAGAGAGAGAGAGAGAGAGAGAGGGAGGGAGGCAGGGAGGGAGGGAGGGAGAGACGGAGAGAGGTCTTCCATCTGCTGGTTCACTCCCCGACTGGCCACAGGAGCTGGGGCTGGGCCAGGCCGAAGCCCAAGCCAGCAGCAGTGGCCCAAGCTTTCTGGACGTCCTCTGCTGCTTTCCCAGGCACATCAGCAGGGAGCTGGATTGGAAGTGGAGCAGCTGGGACTCCAAGTAGTACCATGGGGGATGCCAGCATGGCAGGTGTTAGCTTCACCCACCTCGCCACAGCGCCAGCCCAGGTTTTTTTTTTTTGTTACATTTCAGGGCAACTGATCAGTAGCTAGTTACGCTCAGATGATGACCAATTGTTAGGATTCTTTTTAAGACCAGAATGAAGAAGTTAACTAGTTTGGAGAAAGACTAGTACTGGGGAGAGATGGAGGCAGAGGGACCAGTTGGGCCACCTGGATAAGTTCCTATCATCTCAAGACCTGGAGGACATGGGTCTGGTTCCCCTTTCTCTGAAGATAAACAGATGCTCTGCCTGGACCAGGCTCAGACCACTTGAGGAGGCCACAGCTGACATACACACACCTACAGCTCCCTGTAGACTCGATGTAATAATGATACACCCACTACTGCCATAATAGGAGACACTGACCACGTCAGGAGAGAAAAGCTGGATTCTAGAATGTCTGCCTACTTCCCAAGAACCCACGTGCTCCTCCCCCTTATTGTCATGTACCTCCCATCTCATTAAGGATCCATCAATATTAAACATAGTTCAGAGATGGGGTCACTCTTCTGTGTCAACCTATTTTTCACATAAATGTTAATGCTAAACAAAAAAAAAAAAAAAAAGGAAAGAAAAATAACACCCTCACCAAAATGCAGCTGGCTACTTGCTACTGTAGGTGCTCAGGTCAGAAGATTGTAAGGATATAAAGATTTTTCAATAGTATCGCTGATGACATAGAAGTTCACGGTGCCGTCATTTACTAGCAAACAGCACTCTGCATTTACAACAGTTCCCAGACTTCAGCTGGGAGGCTCCACGTCTTCTACGTCACTTCCTCTCTCCCCCGATTCCACTTCCTCCCTACTGTCAAGGCTCAAATCTCCCACATAGAACTGACTGTACAGGCAGCTTGATCTTCTGCCTGTGCATTCAACCACTCACCTAAACCTACAGGAAAGGAGACTTCACTTCACCTCTAACCTCCACGTCCTTTCAGACTCAGTACTCCTGTACTGAGTACTCTTAATCTCTAACCTCCATGTCCTTTCAGACTCAGTACTCCTGTACTGAGTACTCTTCACCTCTAACCTCCACGTCCTTTCAGACTCAGTACTCCTGTACCCAGTACTCAATCTCTAACCTCCACGTCCTTTCAGACTCAGTACTCCTGTACTGAGTACTCTTCACCTCTAACCTCCACGTCCTTTCAGACTCAGAACAACAGTACTGAGTACTCTTCACCTCTAACCTCCACGTCCTTTCAGACTCAGTACTCCTGTACTCAGTACTCTTCATTGCTAACCTCCACGTCCTTTCAGACTCAGTACTCCTGTACTCAGTACTCTTCATTGCTAACCTCCACGTCCTTTCAGACTCAGAACAACAGTACTGAGTACTCTTCACCTCTAACCTTCACGTCCTTTCAGACTCAGGACAACAGTACTGAGTACTCTTCACCTCTAACCTCCACGTCCTTTCAGACTCAGTACTCCTGTACCCAGTACTCAATCTTTAACCTCCACGTCCTTTCAGACTCAGTACTCCAGTACTGAGTACTCTTCACCTCTAACCTCCACGTCCTTTCAGACTCAGTACTCCAGTACTCAGTACTCTTCACCTCTAACCTCCAAGTCCTTTCAGACTCAGGACCACAGTACTGAATACTCTTCACCTCTAACCTCCACATCCTTTCAGACTCAGTATGTATTCCCTCCAAGCAGTACACTCCTTCCTGATTCTATTCCTGCTTCTTCCCCCATTATATTGATTTTAACATTTATCATGAAAAAATGCCTTTGCACTTTACACACACATGGATTGCTAAAGTATATACACAGAGACACCTGTATAGTTTCTTAAATTTTTAAATATTATGTAGAGGCCAGTGCTGAGGCACAGTGGATGAGGCTGCTGCCTGCAGTGCCAGTTCAAGGCCTGGCTGCTCCATTTCTGGTCTGGCTCTCTGCTATGGCCTGAGAAAGCAGTGGAGGATGGTCCAAGTCTTTGGGTCCCTGCACCTATGTGGGAGACCCAGAAGAAGCTCCTGGCTCCTGACTTTGGATTGGCCCAGCTCTGGCTGTTGTGGCCATTTGGGGAGTGAACCATTGGAATGGAAGAGCGCCCCCCCACCTCTCTATAACTCTTTCAAATAAATAAATCTAAAAAGATAAACACTATGTAAATGCCAAACATTTTTTTCAGAGACTGATTCACATCAATATACATAGCTCCTGTATAATTTTGCTGCTAAATAGTATGGGTAGCTTTTCATTAATGTAATAAAGTAATGTTAATGTAATGAATTTATAAATCTCTCTGTAGACGACCAGGTAGGATGTTTCCAGCTTTTAACTATACCAACCAGTTCAATCATACCAACTAACTTACGTGGTAAGTACAACAGTCACTTTTTCTCCATGAGAAATAGGTTGTAAAACAACCTGGTTTCAAATGCCTGAGAACCTGGAGAGCCAACTCTTAAAAATACTATTTTTTTCCTATACACACATACCGATGATAAAGTTTAATTTATAGATTGGATACGGTACAAGATTAATAACAACATATGACAATATACCCTAATAAAATTTATGCTTGGGGCCTTTAGTAAGTAAAATAAGGGTTACTTGCACACACATGATGCAATATTGTGGCATTAACTCTGATGACCAAGGCTGATACTGAGTAACGGAAGGCAGGGTATTATGTACTGATTCACTCCCCAAATGGCTGCAGTGGTCAGGGCTTGATCAGGCCGAAGTCAGCAGCCAGGAACTCTGTTGGGATCTATATATGGCTGGCAGGGGTCCAAGCACGTAGCCATCTTCTGCTGATTTCCCAGGTGCATTAGCAGGGAGCTGGGTGGAAGGCAGAGCAGCCAGGACAGATCAGTGTTAGGACATGGGATGCTGGCACTTCAGACAGCAGCTTCCACCGTGGCCCAACAATGCTGGCCCCGATGAATTCTTTATATCTGGAACTTTCCATTTAACCATAGATAATGAAACCATGAACAAAGGAGAGATGTAACAATATTCATCTCTGCTTTTAATGTCTGTTTTATCAGTGAATTGTGTTCTGTTAATTTGACGCATTACAATATGCGTTTCTTCTATTTTTCCTGCCTGGGATTCATTACACTTCTGAGACCCAGGGATTCATGTCATGGAACAACTGTGGAAATATCTCAACTTTTATTTCTTTAAATAAAGAATCTTCCTCATTCCTTCTAGTGTCTTCTTTCGGAACTTCGTTCGGATGAATGTTAGAACTTCTCATCCTCTTGCTGTTCTGTCGATGCCCCTTCACCATGGCTCCCCCTCCAAGTTAGTGACTTCGAACAGTATTATTCTATTCGGTGGGTTAGCAATTCCGACAGGACACAGCAGGGAGGGGCGGTGTCTGCTCCACGAATGCCTGGTACCTCAGCTGGAAAAACTCACACAGCTGAGAGCCGGACACCCAAGAGCTGGGGCTGGATTCTCCAGGGAGTCTGGGACTCCCCAAAACATGGCCTTGGGGTATTAAGAGTTCTTCTGAGCCAAGTCAGGGCTCCAAGAGTCAGTCTTCTGGCAAGCAAAATGGAAGCAAAATACACAACCTTTTGTAACCTAGCCTTGGATGTCACAGAACACGATTTATGCCATACTCGGTTCCACGTTCTACCAGTCACAAGCCTGCCTCTGTCTCCAGATGCTAGCAGTGCCAAAGGCTTCCATGCGTTTCCACTTTCTTTCCTATTTTCCAAATCATGTGTCCTTATATAGTGCATTTAAGGTACTTTCTTCAGATTTATCGAGCAGTTTGCTAATTATCACTTGAGTGAGTCTAATTTGCTATTTAACACATAAACTAAATTTTAAATGTGAACATTACAATTCCTAGAGGACTATTTGCCTCTTTTCTCAAGTCTGCATCTATTCTTTTATCATGTTTGCATCCAAATATGTTTCCAAGCTTTAAAAACACTGCCATTTTGCATTCTGCAGTCAGCAATTTCATTTCCGAAGCTAGCGGGGATTAAATGAATTTCTTGTTGTTTCTGCTGACTGCAGCAATGGCTACAAGTTCCTTGTGTATTTCTGTAATTTAGGGTTGTGAACTTACGTTTTAGAAGATTGAATCCACGGGAAGGACCGTGACCTAAAGGGAAGCTAGAGTAGAAATGTTTGATTTGGCAAGATACATTTCTTTGTCATCTCCCGTTGCTGGCAAGTGGAGTGTTTGTTTTATCCCATCCTTTCGCTGGAGGGCTCTCCCTTCTAAATTCTACGCTTTGAATGGAAGTTTCCTTCTCAATTCCCTCTTGGGCAGGCCCAGGCCCTGGCTCCCTGAGTGATGCAGCTGTCCAATCTCAGACCTGCAGGTTTCGGAGCCTGACTACCGTCCCCAAGGCAGCGGCAGCATCAGCGTCCACTTACTGCTCTGGTTTTTCTCCTCCCCCCCCCCCCCCCCCGGCTCCCACCCCAGGAGACCTCTTACCCTCTAACAAAGTACCCTCTAACAAGGTCAGCTTATACATTTCATCCTGCATCCCTGCATTTCGGGACGCTTTGCATTTCGGGACGCTTTGTACCAGGATATTTTCCAGACTTTTTTAGCTCTCAACCTTGCCAGAAATCAAAGTCCCTTCATTTCCTTTTTATGTGGTCCTCCGTAATTTTTTTTTTTCTTCCCCATTTCCTTTGACCTAGAGCTCACAAATTTGTTACATATCATGGAAAAGCTTTTTACTTCATCAAATCAAATTACTAAAAAGTCAAGGTAATTTGGAAATCAAATAAAATATGGCAATTTTATACTATAATACTCTTAGACTTTAGAAGCATACTAAGCTTACAAACAGTATATAGGTAAATCATCATTTTACATCTTCTACAAGCTATCAGGGTACATTAAAACTCAAAGAACAAAGGTTTCTGACATTGTAAATGCCTTTTTTGAATCATGAAGGAAGGATGCCTTTTTTTTTTTTTTAATTGGACAGAGTTAACAGTGAGAGAGAGAGAGAGAGACAGAAAGGTCTTCCTTCCGTTGGTTCACCCCCCAAATGGCTGCTATGGCAGGAGTTATGCCGATCCGAAGCCAGGAGCCAGGTGCTTCTTCCTGGTCTCCCATATGGGTGCAGGGCCCCAAGCCCTTGGGCCATGGAAGGATGCCTTATTTTGCTATCAATTATTGAACAGTGGTAGGATGACATTCAGAGGTGCGACACAACCTTTCAGAGGTGTGACCAGTCCTCATTCAAGCTCCCCACACACGTGCTCAGGAGCACCTGGTCATTAAAGTTTATTAAAGCAAAGGTGTCTGATTTAACTGGACAAAAAATACACATTGCACTGGTAGAACAATAGGTTCTTAAAATAATAAATGTGATTGTGTGGTTTTCTAAATTATATAGGTCAGACTGCAAAATATGTATAAACTGGGTGCACATGAGTCATTTGTACAATATGTTATGTTTAATTTTTTAAATAATAGATTTAGAGGCCGGCCCTGGGGCATAGCAGGTAAAGCCACCACCTGCAGTGTTGGCATCCCGTATGGGCACTGGCTTGAGTCCCAGCTGCTCATCATCTGATCCAGCTCTCTGCTACGGCCTGGGAAAGCAGTGGAAGATGGCCCAAGTGCTTGGTTTCCTGCACCCATGTGGGAGACCTGGAAGAAGCTCCTGGTTTCAGATCTGCCCAACTGTAGCCACTGCAGCCATTTGGGGAGTGAACCAGCAGACAGAAGATCTCTCTCTCTATCTGTAACTCTGCCCCTCAAATAAATAATCTTTAAAAAATAGAAATGCAAATTATCAGCCCCACTTAGACCTCTGGAATCAGAAATCATGGAGGTAGGGATCCTCAGAACCAGGACTGTATACGCCTCTCTCCCTGTCTCTCCCTCTGTCTGTAACTCTACCTCTCAAATAAATAAATGGGAGAGTGACGAGAAGTGGGGAGGAGAGGGAGAGATTTTCCATCTGCTGATTCATTCCCCCAGATGGCTACAACAGCAGGGCTAGGCCAGGCCAAAGCCACGGGTTTCAAACCCCATCCAGGTCTCCCACACGGATAGCAGGGGCTCAAGCACTGGGCCATCTTCTGCTATTTTTTCCCAGGTCATTAGTAGGGAGGCTAATGGGAAGTGGAGCAGCTGGGACTTGAACTGGTGCTCATGTGGGATGCCAGTGTCCCAGGTGGCATTTTTACCTGCTCACCACAATGCTGGCCCCAGGGTTTTATTTTTCAATTAATGTGCCTTTATTTATTTGAGAGACAGACAGAGAGGGACAGAGCTCCCATCTATCGGTTTACTCCCCAGATGTCTGCAACAACTTGGGCAGGGATGGAACTGAAGCTTGGAGCCAGGAACTCCAACCAAGTCTCTCACAAGGGTGGCACGAACCCAATCACCTGGGCCTGCGTTAGCAGGAAGCTGGAGTCAGAGGCTGGAGCTGGGTATCAGGTACTGAGGTGTGGGACCCAGGCACATGAACTGGGGTCTTAAACACCAGGTCAAATGCCTTCACAGGAAAGGCTTTTAAATGAGGGTTTTACCAGAAACTGTTTTCATAAATTCTAACCTTAAACAATACTTAACTACCAGTGAAAGAATATCATCACAGTATATGTTCATATGATTCAAAAGGGACAGATATCAGCTATAAAAGCTCAGATAAGCAAGTGTACACCACTCATTCTTCTACTGCTAGCCTCTTGACAGTTTAATGTATACGCTGGATACTGAGCCCCAAGATATGAACTAACACTGCATATGAAATTAGCACACTGAGTTAAATTAACAAGTCAGATGTGGGATAAACTGCAAACTTGATACTGATCAATTATGCCCCGAGCAGAGCAATCAAGGCGCAGCTATCTTTGAAAGGAAGCCTGTTGACCTGGAAGAATGAGAAACAACACTGCACAGTGATTGTAGTCCTTCTAATCTGTCTGATAACACTAACCCAACGTGTCAGCTGGAATGAGCCGTGTCACAGAAACACACAGGGAAGGTGAAACCAAGGCCTACACAGAGAGGCAGGAGCAGAAGCGGAGAGATGGCATTCAACAGAGGGGGCTCGGAAAATCAAGGTGGAGAGGGTCGTCTTTTAAACAGATCCTCATTCTTTTTCCTCTTTTCACAGACTGACAAGTCTCTGCAGGACCAGAACATTAGCTTTCTTAAAGAAAAGCATTTCATGGTGTTCACCACGAGAGGCGAATCCACACCTCCCTTTGTCATGTCTGGACCCACTCCTTCCCTTCAAACTCATGTATGTACCGCCTTTTGAGATAATAACAATGTGTTCTCAGAGCCAGCAGGTGCGGACTGTGTGTCATTGTGACAGAGAGCCTCAAACCCTAGGTGGTGGTAAAAGGATCTGATCTTAAGCCCTAACTGATATCTGGCACCTAAGTAGGAGGCAGTGGAATTACAATGTGTGCATAAGAAAGGGGGCTTATGACTCTGCTGAGGGTATACTCCTCCTACAACACCACACACAGTCATCAGAGTGTCACTTGAGCAAATGCTATTGGTCTGAACCCGATATGGGGATTCTTAGGAACAAGGTGACATGGCTGGCCTGCAAGGTGTACAGATTTGCACTGAACTCTACGTCTCAATGACCTCATCTATACAATGATGGCAACAATGCCCACCTCAAAGGTTGCAGATAACTAAGGATTAAATAAATGGATACTAGTGAAATGCTTAAAACAGTGCTAGCTGTAATGGTAAGCCAGCCTAAGTAACTGTCTTCATCATCCTTTTATTTTCTGACTTCTATATGATCACATTCAAATTCATAGATTTTAACTCTCATAAAGTTTTATCTCAGCCATTTTGATATAACATTCTTCACTCATAGTAAATGGAAAAATGTGTCATATGTGTGAGATTTAAAAGGACCATCAAAAAAAAAATGCAAAGACTGGTGGTGTGGTGCAGTGGGTAAAGCCACTGCCTGCAGAGCTGACATCCCATATGGGTGGTGGTTCGAGACCCGGCTGCTCCACTTCTGATCCAGCTTCCTGTTAATGTGCCTGGGAAAGCAGGAGAAGATGGCCCAAGTGCTTGGGCCCTTGTACCCATGTGGGAGACCTGGAAGAAGCTCTGGGCTCCTGTTTTTTTGATTATACAGATTATATAGATTTTCTCTATTATCCCATTTTAATATATTGTGTTATTGAATAATAGCACACCTCATCTTTTTTTCTGTGCCTACATACTTACCATGTATGTTAACATGCATGTTTTCAACACTTGCAGAAGAGTTGCATGGGATGTTCAGAGTGACACTGTATACCCATTATCTACTTTCCGGCATTTAACTGTGGAACAGCTATCAAAACTAAAAAGTTAACTTTAACTCATTATTTAATAATGAGTACAGGCCGGTGCTGTGGCTCAATAGGCTAATCCTCTGCCTGCGGCGCCGGCACACCGGGTTCTAGTCCTGGCTGGGGCGCTGGATTCTGTCCCGGTTGCCCCTCTTCCAGGCCAGCTCTCTGCTGTGGCCAGGGAGTGCAGTGGAGGATGGCCCAAGTGCTTGGGCCCTTCACCTGCATGGGAGACCAGGAGAAGCACCTGGCTCCTGCCATCGGATCAGTGCGGTGTGCCGGCTGCGGCGGCCATTGGAGGGTGAACCAATGGCAAAAGGAAGACCTTTCTTTCTATCTCTCTCTCTCACTGTCCACTCTGTCAACAAAATAAAAAAAAACTAACAATGAGTACATCATTATTAAATAAACTACAATTCTGATTTCCCGAGTTGTTTCCACTAATGTCTGTCTGTTCCTGGGGCCAGTCCTTGATGCCACATTGGATCCAGTTGTCAGGTTTCCTTGGTTTCTTCCAATCCAGGGTAGTCCCACAGTCCCTTGCCTTGTCTGATTTGAAAACTTTTGAAGTGTGCTTGCCAATTCTCTTCTCTTCTGTCTTGTCGGGATTAGACTGTGGTTACGGATTTTGGGGCAGAACACCAAGAAGGTGAAATGCCACGCACGGCACCTTCACTACAGGGTTTCCTGGTCTGAGGATCAGTGTGTGTCGTCTTACGTCGGCCATGTTTCTCCTGAGCAGTATTGATTTTTTTCCTTCTCTTCACACTGTGGTTGTGAGTCAAGATGGTTTATGGGAGAAAAGAGGTCTTTGCTGTGACCCCTTTAATAAGAGACAGATGAACTAGAGAAACACATAAAAATGTACATGAGGTCTATAAGACAGCGATCGTCAGAAATGAAGACACACAGAGAAGAGAGAAACTTGAGTATTTTTATAGTAAGTCTGATTAAGCGGGTGGTGGTGAAGAAGCAGGATTGGACAAAGGGGTGTGATCTGACGGTTACAAGCCAAGGGGGACTTAGGAGGGCCATGTGCTCAGATTCTGCTCTGTGTCCTCAGTTCTCAAAGTTCCTTTCGGGGACATACAGGG